TGGGGAGTGACGCTGTCGCTGAGGGGAGAGGCAGAGACTTGGCCAGCACAAGATTTTGGGGGTCTGGATTTGGTGGGGAAGGCCGGGCTGGGCGAGGATGGGGGCTCCCACCGAGCCTGGCAGCTCCAGCGTTGTGTATTAAACCCTGGGAGGAGGGCTGGTGCTGAAGTAGGAGCCAGGCAGGCCTTTTAACGCGTGCATTCCCATAAAGCATGTCGCAGCATCCCAGCTCCCACCCCGTGGGCAGGGAAACCGCCTCTTGGCTGTTATTTTTGGCATCTCCTCCTCCGCTCCTCCCTCTGGGGCACAGGCTGGGGAGCTGCAGAGCATGGAGGAGGACGGGCTCTGCTCAGAGGTAACGCTGCTTCCCGCTCGGGCCGAGGAGGCTGCCGGCGGCTTCCCCGTGCTCTCCTGCTCCTGCTGGGGCCAGGGCTGCCCTGGTTGAGCCCTGCCCGCTGAGGGCTGACAAAACTCGACACAACAGTGGGCACAGCCTCTCCTTCATGCGGTCGACACCTCCGATACCTCGGTGGCTCACGTGAGCCGGCCCAGACCCCGCTGTCCTCACCAGGTGGACCCGGGCCAACCCACCGCGTACACAGGCCGTGAGCCACGCTGAAAGCCACGCAATTACTTAAACTATCGCTAATTATTTTTTGCTCTCTGCCTTCCTGCTCTCTCAGGCCATGTTTTGAAGCTTTTCCAAACGACTGCCATGACTAGAAATGTTTTTCTACTTTCTCAGAGGTTCGCAGTCTTTTCACATGACTCCAAGGGCTTAGGCTTTAGGTAAAAATACATCACAAAAATAAAAGGAGCTGCACATGTGAGATTTTAGGAGTGGTTCAGCATTCTGGCAAATGTCTATTGGAGGGATTAAATGCAGCTAAAAGCAGGGTCCAAGCTGTCAGGCGACTGTCAGAGAAAATGACAGAAGATAGCAAGTTCCCAGGAAGGAAGCAGGACTGTATTATTTGGCCGCTGTAGCTCTCAGTGGTGGGTGGAAAGGGGGTTGTCGCTGATACGATGGTAGATAAGATAAAATAGCTGCTATGCTGCTGCTGTCACACAAAATAATGAGTCACACTTCAAAGCAGTGAATTCTAGAAAAATATTTAGTTCTTTTTCTCTCTGCATTGTTTTTTGCATCGCTGCCCTGTGCTTGCTTCATGTTTTTCAACTCGTTCCCTACCTAAAGTACCTCTACAAGTGTAGGCTTTCAGTTCAAAGAAAACTGTGGTGCTGAGATAACGCTGTGACTCCTGGACCTGGGCCTTCAAAAGCAAGAGGGCATGCCCAAAATTCATAGTGAAGTCGTGAGACCTTGCCCAGTCTTCAGTGCTAGCCCAGGAAGGGGAATGTTTGCAGGCTGTAAAGCTCTGTCATTTAAAAATTCCTTGCTTCCTTATGAGAGCAATGAAAAACTCTTATATTGGTGGTTTTATTTGAGCAGAAATGTAGAAGATGGATGAAAGAATTCCGTACAATGCTGTCAACCTCAGCCTTCATCCCAGGTGTTTATTCTTTTGCCTTGTAGCTCACGTGAAGGGTTAATCAAAATGTGCTTTTGCATTTCTAAGTCAGACTTGTGTAAATGCAATTTATAAGAAGTGGATTAACTGTAATAAAATATTTCTGTCAAACTGCCACGTCTTATTTCCGGCAAGGGTCACTGTAATTAAGCTACCGGGTTCTGCTATAAGCCTTTTGTTTTGCAATCAGTAAAAAATGGATGTGTAGGGCTGTTTTCTGTGCAGAGCTTCTGCTTGCAAAGAGTTTTTTGTTTGTTTTTTTTTTTTTTCCCCTACAGTTTGAGAAATCTGTCTCAGCTTTTTGAATACCAGGGCAACAGTGCTAGAAAATTCCCTTGCATTTTTATTACTTAGAGTAGCAAAACCTTGCTGTAGGAAAAATAAACTTTTATTTTCCAAAGGTTTGATCTTACATCTTTAATTCTTAACAGGTATCACGAGCTTCCTAGGCTTGGTTGAAAAAAATGTGTAAAACAATTGGCCAGTGAATTTTCCCTGTTTTTATGTTGAATTTCAAAATTTGATAAAGTTTCAAGTTTGAAAAAGTATTGACCTTCTCTGCGATCTAGTCATGTTGGTTTGATAAATCCTAACATGTCTTTCTTTTTTTGAACAGGGAGCTTTGAAAATTAATTGCCATTTTGGAAGTTTCTCCAATTTTTAAACTTGACTGACTCAGCAAAATGCTTGCTCCAGTCCCAGAACTGTGGAACTACATCCCAGAGGAAATCCTCATCCAAATTTTCTATTACCTTTCCCTTCAAGACAGATACACAGTCTTCCAGGTGTGCAAACAGTGGGCTAGAGCTGTTTCTTCTAGCTCTGTTTGGCATTTCACGGAGATCAGGTAAGAGGAGCGGATTTCTGAAGTCTGAGTATCTGCAGGAATAACAAGCTCATTATGTATCAGTGCACGTTGAATATCTACACCCCATATACTATAACATCCACCCCTAGACTGTGACATTATTGACGTTAATTTTGACTTGTGTGTGATAGTACAGTTCATAACTAGCACGTCTTTTTATAATAGAGGAAATTGTGTTATGCTGTTGTGTTATTTTGTTTGCTTTTTTAAAATGCTGCTGATGGTTTAGGTGTTGGGGGAAGTCTTACATTCTCAGGTAAGTTCCTTTAAGTTGCTGTTTAAAAATGACAAGAAACAAAGTTATTGAATAATCATCCTCATCATGACACCTACTTCTCTGATGGGTCTTTTTGGAGACTGGCTCCTCTCGCCTCCTCTAACAGTTTGTTTTACCTTTTCAGATGTGATTCAGAGGATGAAGAAAGCATGCTGCAGAGCCTGGTCCAGTTCCTCAGCCAAATCAAACACCTGAAGATTGTGTTTGACCAGTCCAAAGAGGGCAACCGGCAGAATGTGAGGCGCATCTTAGATCTGTTGGCAAAACAGAGTCACAAACTGCAGCAGCTGTGCATCGTGTGCCATGGGGAAAACCCCTATTTCTACTCTGGCCAGGACATCCTACAGAGCATACGGAATATATGTGATGCTAGAAACCAGATAGATCTGCAGCATATTGATTTCCGAAAAATGCCCTTTACCCTTGATGATGAGCTTGTCGAACTCATAGCTACCACCAACCCAAACTTGCACAGTTTGTTCATCAACAACCGCACCCTGGTATGCAACGTGGCGCCGGACACCATTAGGAAAGTTCTCAGAGCGTGTCCCAAACTCTCAGCCTTGGGGGTTTACTATGCCAGTTTGTCTGATGATGTATTTCTGGAACTGCTCAAGCCAGAAAGAGCAGCTTTCACGCATTTAGACATTTTCTGTGAGCGCCTGGACAAATACATACCTGTCATCTCAGAAGAGCTCTGGGCTGCTGTAAGTCAAAAGCATCCTCAGCTCTGCGTAGACCTAGAATTTGATCATACAGTCCCTGCCTGCAAAATACCACGGATCCTAAAGCTGAACATACCTGTGAGCACGCTGCAACTGAACACCTTTAATTACATGGTAAATCAGATCAGGTTTGTCACCCAGAGCTACAGCAGTACTTTAAAGAAGCTGACACTACAGACCACATCCTCGGATGAGTTAAATTCCTCGCTAATAGATCTGGCTAGGCACTGCCAGAAGCTGCTGGAGATCCACTGCTACTGTGTGGTGAGCCAGGAGGTGGTGGAAGCGTTCCTCACACACTGCCCCAGCCTGAAACAATACACTCTCAAGATCACCAAGGAGCGGCACCCCTGGAAACCAGTGACAGTTCAGTGACCTCCTGCCTTCCTGGGCAAACTGTGGGGAACTGCGGGAGTACAGTGAGAGAAGCTTTAGGGCTATGAGGAAAATGCTGTAAAATGCCCTCTGAGCTTGCTGAGACCATGCTATTTCACTATCACTGACTGTTCAATATGATGTACGCCCATTCAGCAGACTGAACGTTTGTACTCAAAAGTAAAAGGGTTATACAGAGAAATAGAGTTGCCTATTTTAAACTTTTTTTTTTTATTATTGGAATATGGAGAACAAGTCTATTTTCTTCTCTGCTTCTTTATTTAGCAATAGAAGGAATGCCAAACATCCGTCATGGAGTTTTACAGAGGAACCCAGTGAAATTTAGTTTTGATTTTAAGTTTTAAGAGAACTTCAGTCAAATATATTGTGTCAGGTGTCCAGCAACTACTTAGATGGACAGTTAAAGAAGTAACAGCTTCAGTGCAGCCATTTTGTGTTCCCTGGGGTACTTAGCTGTGGGCGATAGCAACAAACTGTGGTCATCTGATGGAAAATCCACCCTAAATTTGGTAATTCCTCTTCTGGCATTTTTGTGATCGTGAGCTCACCCAGTATCCAGATGTCAGGTAACTCCAGTTTGGAAGGATCTAAATAGGTTGTGAACTATGTTAGAAGATGCAAGCAGGAAAAAAAGCACTTAAGAAAAAACACTGGCAAGGTAGTAATAAAAGGCAAGTAGTAGTCTGCAAATATCCTTTTCCATCCTTTCTTTCTGATTCTCAGGAACACAGATTTCCAGGTTATAATTTGAATGCCTTTTGCAAAGACTTTTGCTTTCATTAAATTGTTAATGTGTCTTAGGAGAAACAAGAGCATTTACGGATTTTTGTACCACCTTGCACTCAACAACTAGCGGCAAAGGTACCTTGAACCTGAATTCGGATGTGTGTGTTTGCCTGTTGTGCCAAAGATTTTGGTGAATTGTTATTTGAAGAGCAGTTTATCCATGGAAATAATCCTGGCATAAAGCTACGTTGCAAGCACCTATTTAGACCTAAAAAAATTATTATTATTATTAATAATAATATTAACAACAATAATAATAAAGTACATTGCCTGGTAGATTATATGTGTAGCTGTTTTCATCAGCCTCTCATCTCACTGAAGAGCCAGATCGTTTCTCCTGGCAAATAACATGAGATCTGTAGCCAAGCCAACTTACGGTTTTGACTTTTCAAAACCTTGCCAACGATGTGCAGCCCTGAGGTCTGGCCAGGCCTTGTTCATCTGTGCTGGCCGGCTTTTGGGGCAAGAATATTCCAAAATAACACGTCAAGTGCTTTGACAAACCCGACGCTGCTGTGCTGGGCATCCCACAGGCTCTCAGCAGGTGGATTCACTCCGGTGACTTGCAAACCTCCCAGCGCAAGGTGTGCGGCACGTGTTCCCTCTGCATGACGCTGCGTATTTATTCACAGCTCTGTGAGATCAGCTGCAGTGCATTTTCATTCTGTGTATTGTTCTCTGGGGCTGGTGATGCCATCGCATTGTGCTGAGTTTTTAAGAGTGCGAGCAGCACTGCTGATGTGACTCCCTGGGAGCCTACTTTCCACTAGCCCGGGATAAAATTCAGTGGTTCGTTCTCTGTCGGACGTACACGCGTGCAGGGAGACAGGCACGCCGACAGCGATGGGGTTAGTATAGCTGGGACACTGCTGGAGCTATGCAGGATTCACCCAGCTCTCTGGTGATGGATGGGTACTCCAGCAATGTGCCGGCCTTCCTCACCAAGCTCTGGACGCTGGTGGAAGATCCCGAAACGAATCACCTCATCTGCTGGAGTACGGTAAGTGCAGCGAGTGCCGGTTGCCACTTGAAGTGCCTTAAAAGATGTCTAGAACCGAACCCTATAAAAATCCAGGCTCTTTAAGAGTGAAAAGTTTTCCACCTTGCTTCAATCTGTGGTCCCCAAAGTTTTCTAGAAAAGATGCGGAGCCCTTAAAGGATTTAGCTGATGTTTGTGTTACTTCACCAGGATTTCTTAGCAGCCGCTCTCAAGTGCCTTGGAAGTAGGCAGCAAATTGCCACAGCCAGCCTTCAGACCGCAGTCTGAAGCCTATGGCTTAACCAGGTCTCAGGTTTGCCCCTTAAATTATTTAGCATTTTTCAAGGGCTTTACTCAACTTTTCATCTAGGCTGTGTGATGGTTGTGGTGTGTTTTGTCTGTATAGCTCCATAGTGATAGATTGCTTTGTTTTGGCTTCTTATTTGTCACAGGGGTTTTAATATACTGAGTGAAATCAGAGAATAAAAATGATTTATCTGTTCCCCTGGTACAGCATTTTGAAACCACATTGTATTTTTGACCTGGGTAAGACTTGCTGCAAATAACGTCATGATTTGTCTTCAGCAGGGACTTAGAGAAAATAAGTGTGCATAAACTTGTTCTCCAAAAATAAGTATCTATAACAAGAGGAGATTTAAAGGGAGGAAAAAAAAAAGTCTAAAGCAGTCTTTTTGCCATGTGTTTTTGTCAAATATGGTTTTCAAATAAAACGTGGGGTGGAATTTAAGCTACATTTTTATCCAAGGGAATGTCTGCTTTCCAAAGCTGGTATCGCATGTCCATACTTCCCAGAACCCCTAAGTTTTCATACTGTGTTTAAAACAAGGACTTTCAAACTAGCAAAGATTACCTAACATGTATAAATAGCCCCTTCTCTGTTACACGCACATTATTCCACATGTTGGTGTTAGGTTGAGAGTTATTTCTCACCTCCCACACTATGCTCTGCTTTCCTGCAGCCTTACACAGGCTTATAGCTACCTGCTTGGGTGAAGCTTTTAGATCTAAGGCTCCCACGTTGCAGCCTTCGACCCATCAGTGGTGTTGGAGCTGAGGAGTTGTATGTGTCTGAGATTTCTGGATGTAATCAGAGCTCTTGGCAAATAGGATGTGTAAAGAGCAACTGAGTAAACTGTGGGTCTTATAGCCTGAAGGAGCAGACATGGAGGGAAAACATGATAATGCTTTATATGTAAAGTAAAAGCTGGTTTAAGGCTAAAAAGAAAAGTCTGCCTTCCGTGTCCATGGCAGACATGGGGACAAGAAGTAATGACATTAATTTTTGAAGTGGCAGATTCAGTTAGGAAAAACTCCTAGGTAATTCCCAGAGGGTCTGTGGCCCATGGGTCTGCCAAAACCAGGTAAGACAAGCATCTGCCAAGGCTGACAGGCTGTAGAGACAGTTTTGCCTTGGACAGAGAAAACTGTTGAAGTGTCTCCCAGCTTGTGCTCTTACGATGTAAGACCACCAGGGCACGGCTGCCGTACAGGGAACATGCTGGCACGTGCACAGTGTGTCAGTGAACACGCAGCATCTCCAAAGTCTCTTTGCCTGTAGGGCCTTTCCACTCTCCTCCTCTATCAAAAAACAGTCCGATGTGAAACAACCCCAAGCTGACACATCACTTGGCTGCAGGTAATGACACCGGACACAGCAGGAGGGTGACAGTGGCTGTACTGGGCTCTGCCAACACCACACACACCCTGGCATCTTTAGCTAGCTACCCCTTAAAACTCAGCTGCAGCTGAGTTGGTAAATCCAGCTCAAATATCTGTTGCTGTCATTGCCCTGGCAAAGGTCTCTGCATCTTGCCCGTCCTTCCCTGAAGCAGTGATGGGCTCAGGCTGCACAGCTGGGCTCCGCAGGCAGCTCTGAGCAGCTCTTCATTGGCTCACCAAAGCCAATGTAAGCCCCTAGAAGATACGGTTCTCTGCAAGTTTACAAAATGTTACGTGCACCCCAAACTCCATGTTCGATATCATAGTTCCTCCAAACTCCCCTGGTTGTCCCCATCCATCCAGAGCAGAGATGGGATTTAAGGAAGTCCTCCTGTCCCCATATCCTGGAGACACTCATGCTGTTAAGGTCAGGGCTTCAGAAAAGACTGTCTCTAAGTGTCAATTGCAGATGAAAATTAATTGCCAATTCTTCTGTCCCTTGAAAAGGCCATGTGGATTTTTGTTTGCAAAACGTTTTGGGACAGCTTCAGTGCACTGTGTCTCACAGGCCAGCAAGGAAAGCACATGGACTGCAGCGTGCCTGCCCCTGTCAGTGATCCCAGTCTGCTTTGTGTTGTTTTGCAATCACAACTCCTGGTGATGCAACCTAAAAAAAGGATATTTTATCCAGTTAAAATGCATGTTGCTAGCTTGAGCTGTAAAGTATGACAGTTGTAACTTGTATGCTATGCTCAGCCAAGTTTGGGGTTGCACTTGTGGCTGTATGTTTCAAAAATAACCAGGAGAAGTCTGTAGAGCTTCTGCATGAGTGCACTATGTCCAGGGATGATTTGCTTTCTTGCCTTGCTGTGTTTCTTGTGCCATGTCTCCGGGCAGTGCTCCCTCGAGGACTGCTATGCTCTGAAGCAGAAGGGTCAGACCTGTGCGAGCAGACTGAGGGTTTGTGATGGTAATTTCCACTTTCTAGGACCTTCTTCAGACACCAGTCTTTCTATGAGGCCCACACAAGAAGGGGCATGAGCTATGAGCATTTTGGATGTAAATGTCTTTAGTTTCGTTCTCTCATCCAAGGCCCTGAACCAAGCAGTGGCAAAGCTCATTCAAAAAGGATCAGAAATGTGGTCATAGAGGACTGGCTGTACAAGGACTGAAAGGAGCACAGCATTCACTACAAGTTGTTGTCAGTCTTCTCACCTTCAAGGTGACAATTCAGAGCATGTCCTGCTGTAGGCCTCAAGGGAATCACCTCCTCCTGGTCTCCCTTTGTGGTCAAGGCGTTCTGACTTCCCCCATCCTTCTCGCCTTTGCAGAATGGCACCAGCTTCCATGTGTTCGACCAGGGACGGTTTGCCAAAGAGGTGCTGCCCAAGTATTTCAAACACAACAACATGGCCAGTTTCGTCCGGCAGCTGAACATGTGTAAGTTCAAACCCCACTTCCTAGGCCACGCGGGTCCCACAAGACACAGGGAAAGTGATAGAAAGGTGGGGTAGTACAGGAAGCATGGAAGAGAATTGTAGATAGAAATGCTGAGAGTTCACATATACACGTATATGTTGCAGATTTTGCCAAAGAGGACCTTTCACTTAGATCCCAGGAGAGCAATGTCCTTCTGTATGAAATTTCTGTTAGATTCCATCATAAATTGTGGCTAAGAAATTTCAGCTACTGGGTTTTCTGCTTCCCTTCCATCAATTTGATCACCCATTATTATTTCTTTACCATTTCATGCTGTATAGGACTTTATCTAGCAGCCTGATACTGTGAAACCTCCTTCAGAAACTGCTTTTCTTGAGTGTGGCATGCCCAGAGTTTATCTGTTCTCCCAGCCCTATGGCTGAACTAAGACCAGGCAGTATTTCTCCCTGCAAACCTCGCTAATGAGGCATTTTCATCCCTTAACGGAGGTTTAGGTGTAGCTGTCAGCCACATCTAGATAATACTTGTATTAAACCTGGTTCTTTTCTGATAGTTTTCCGAAGTACAGTTTTCTATTGATGACTAATTCACTAAGTTCCTTGGTAAAGTTTTCTCTTTGCTATTTAAGCACACAATAGCAGTGTTGTAAATATGAAGCCAGTTCTAAGGCAGTTTAGTGGTGTAGAAAACCTTTTAGGACTTCAGAGAAGTATCCAAAGTAGATTTCCATCACCCTTGATGGGGCAGGAGGCAGGGAGGCATTCACCCACATGCTCTCTATGCAGATGGCTTCAGGAAGGTGGTGAACATCGAGCAAGGGGGGCTCGTCAAGCCCGAGCGGGACGACACCGAGTTCCAGCACCTCTGCTTCCTGCAGGGCCATGAGCACCTCCTGGAGCACATCAAGAGGAAGGTGAGGGGATGCCGGGTGGAGGGACACACAGGGTGGGACCCCCTGAGAGCCCCTCAACTGGTGCCTTAGGGGCTGAGGTGGGAAGGCTCAAGGCGGGAAAGCTGAGGCGGCAGCAGCGACCCCACCCTTCCAGAAGGTTCCAGAAAGGCTGTGCAGTGTTTTTTGAAACACCCAAACATTTGGGACATCAAAACATCCAGTGAGCCCCTCAAATGGTGCTTTAAAGGCTGAGGCGGGAAGGCTCAAGGCGGGAAGGCTGAGGCAGCAGCAGTGCCCCCCCCCTCTTCCAGAAGGTTCCAGAAGAGCAATGTGGTGTTTTTTGAAACACCCAAACATTTGGGATGTCAAAACATCTCCTAACAGTATGCCCCAAAACTTAATTAATGCTCTGTGTGGAGATGTAACTCCCTTGGTTCATTTTTAAACCTGCTGTCTCTTCTAATTTGGTTTCCCCTTGGCTTTCTGCTAGGAGAGAAGCAGCGAATACTTGCGTCCTGTTCCCCAGATGTCTTGAGCAGAAAATGCCATGCTTCTTCCCAAGCAAGAGCCTTTTTGTGGCTGTCACGGTGGCTCTCCACCCTGCACCTAACCCTCCTACATCCGTTTTTTTGGGGGAGATTGACCAGAACAGCACCCTATAATTAACACGTGGTCATTACATGGATCTCTATTACCACAACTGCTTTGCTCTCTTGATGATACCTAAAATACTTGTTTGCTCTTGCACCACGGGCTGGCATGCTGTAGACTGCTCAGCATAACTGCAAGATCACCTTGTGATCTGGTTTCTAACCTGATTTTCATCAGTTTTTCTTTTGGTTGGTTATGGTTTTGGTTTTGGTTTGTTTGTTGGATTTTTCTCTGCATTGCTTAGTGTCACGAGATCTTTGTGTAGTGCTCCACAGACAGGCTTGCTTTGCACCACTCTCTGGATTTGAATCATTATCCTCTTTTCTAGATAAGTACAACATATCTCCTGGGTCTCCCAACACTCATCTCTTGTTGTTTTAGAAGCAGTAATCTACTTCTGCCATCTGCTTGCTGCCTTTTAACAGGTTATTAACCCTCTCCTAAGGAACTGTTCTCTTACTGAATTAGCACATTGACTTCAGAAAGGAACTTCAGAAAAAGCATTCTGGTAATCCAACCATAATATACCAGTTTGAAACAGTTTCTCAGGTTTATTCCTATAAATCACAAGACTGAATTCAGGATCTCTATAGATTAAAAGGAAATAATTAATCAAATGACCTAGTTCAATTTTTCCCTGTTCCTCATAATGCCATTTTTTCTGAGTTGACTTGAAATACATCCCTAGTGGAGAATATCCTGCTTCCAGCTCTCCGTATGAAAGCATTTTTCCTGCTCTTTTCTGTGTTTTATTCCGTTGGCCCATGCAGTAATACCCAGACACTTGTGAATGTATTGCTTGTCCCAGTGTCTCAGCACATCAGAGCCTGGCTGGTAGAAGTCCTGCACTCAAGCCACAGCAATGACAGTGTCTGTCCACAGCCCTTTGTATGTTGGTAAAATTCACTTTGGACTTTTTCTTCCTCAGGTGTCAGTAGTGAAAAGTGAGGAGACCAAGATGCGCCAGGAGGACCTCAGCAGGTTGCTATATGAGGTACAGATACTGAGAAGTCAGCAGGAGAACATGGAGTGTCAAGTGCAGGACATGAAGCAGTGAGTTGAATCCTACTCAGGCTGCTTCTTTTCGGGCATTTGCTTCTCGAGAGATGTTGGTCTTGGGGAATGCTTGAAAGGAGGAGCCTTACACACCTCCCTCCCACAGAGCATATACTGAGTCAGAGCAATCTTTAACTAAGAATCTCCTCTTTGCTTCGTCCTAACTTTGAAAACATGAGTTTTTGTTATTTATGTATCCTCTTAGCAGTAAGCATGAACAGAGCAAATGCTGACGCAGGCATATATCTTAAGACCGTTGTGCTAGCGCCTGATGTATCTAAACAGCTGACCTTCGTTTTAGTCATAGGGACTAGATCTGTTGACACAACAACATGTAGGATTTCAGTGCAGAGTTCCCAACGAGGTACAAAATGCAAATTCATCCTCAGCCTCTCCGTCTTCTGTGGAAGGTAGACATCCATATTTTCCCTTTATAGATGAGGTGAGCACAGAGAAGGCCATACAGGAAGTATATGCATATTCTGGGGACTTAGATAACTGTGTTTCCTCCAGATAGAAATGATGGTAAAAAGAGATATATAACTCTTTCTCACCCCTAGGAGAGAGAGCAGTGGCAGATTTGCAGTGGTGCTCTATTCAACTGTTTAAAAGTCAGAAATCTATGTCATCCTCAACATCCAAAATATAGGCCTGACCTAAAGAATATAAGAATACTAGAGTGGTTGTAGTTTAGATCACTGGACCCCTCTCTCTCTGAAGACTGCATCTTCTGACAAGGCCAAAATTGTTGTGTAAGAGCAAGACTAGGCATATGCAGTACTTCTAGCATGTGGTCACCTGACCCTCCAGCTGTCTGAGGCTGGGATTTTCTGAGTCAGACATGGTCACTAGGAATTTATGAAATGGATAGCGATTTATAAATCATACATCTGGAGAGGTTTTTGTTTGCATCCAGAATTTTAATTCTTATAAAACACTTAGATTTTTTTTTTTTCAAAAAAAAAGAATTTAAACAACAGGGTTCAGAAGTGTTTTTTTATAATGAAATCTGAGATTTGTGTGTTGTTAGATGAACCCAACATCCCAGACCTTGAGAGAACATCAGATACTGCAAAACTTCATTGCAGTCCAGCACCTTAAGTGCAATAGCTAAATATTTTAATCCTTCCTCAGTTTTTAATGCTGTTGTAGTTTAACCCAGCTGGCAGCTAAGCACCACACAGCCGTTCGCTCACCCTCCCCTCTCCCTCTTTGGGATGGGGGAGAGAAACGGGACAGTGAAGCCTCTGGGTTGAGATAAAGACAGTTTATTAAGATGGGAAAATAATAATGATAATAATAATAATAATGATAATAATAATATTGATAATAGTACTACTAATAATAATGTGTATGAAACAAGTGATGCACAATGCAGTTGCTCACCACCCGCTGACCGATGCCCAGCCTATCCCTGAGCAGCTGGCCCCCCCATCCCAGCCAGCCAACCCTATATATTGTTCAGCATGACCCCAGATGGTATGGAATACCTTTTTGGCCAGTTTGGGTCAGCTGTCCTGGGTCTGTCCCCACCCAGCTCCCGCTGCACCCCCAGCCTGTCCTCCACTTAGTGTAAGCACTGCTCTGCAACAATTAAAACATCAGCTTGTTATCAACACTCTTCTCATTCTAAGCCAAAACATAGCACCCTACCAGCTACTAGGAGGAAAATTAACTATCCTAGCTGAAACCAGGACAGATGCATTCCACACTTAGCATATGTGTGAAATCACATTGTGAAATCCAGGTACAGCGGCAATAAAGAGTATTACCGCCTAACAGATATGTAGCAAAAGGCTTTATAAATTGCACGTATATGGGAGGTTTTGCTGACCTGTCAGTTTTGGTACATCCATACACTCTTGAGATAAATTCACTGGCAAAACCTTTTGCAGCACAGACTTGGCTGGAATCCAGGTTTAGAGGCAACACAGCAAATAAATGCTGCATCTCCCTCATCCCACCTCCTGGGACTAAACGTTCAAGGCAGCCCATAACTCCCATGGGTGCTGCATTTGCAGACAGAAACCTGGGCCTGTATATGCTCTGTGCAATTGCAAACTGGACGTAAAATGTGCTGGAGGAAATTGGTGACTCCCATTGATAAAGTCACTACATGCGTCCTAGTTCAAGGCTCTTGGATATGGAAGCATCCCTTTAGCTACTCTGGTGACACCCAGACATGCCTTTGTACCTCCACATGCATGAGGTCCGAGCAGGCAGAATACACAGAATACACATTCTCTATGTGTAGGATCTCTTGGTCTTTGGGAACAATAGCAGAGAGGCTGGGCTTTCTTTGCCGCAGTAGGAAGAACAGTCGTGATGATCCAAATCATCCAAAATCACAAATTTGACCCTGTTGAAATTCTGAGTTTGGCCTAAAAGTTCCACCCAACATGCGCCCTCCCATTACCCTCCCCTATTTATGCTGACTTCTCTTTATTTGTTTCTCCTCCAAGCTTTGCTCTGTAGTTCTGAAATGGAGGAAGAACAAGGAAAGCAATCCTGTGACCCTGGGTGGGATATCTGGAAAGTGCCAAGTGCTGCAATGGTCCCAAAGTGAGACCAACTTGAGACCAACTTTGCCGAGTTGGGCCTACCGTGTATCATGGCAGCACCATGGGCTGTTGGGCTGTTTCTGTGCTCAAATAAAGTTTCTGTTTCACTTTCAGGCAAAATGAAGTTCTTTGGCGAGAAGTTGTTTCTCTCCGGCAGAACCACTCACAGCAGCAGAAGGTGATCAACAAGGTAGTGGTTGTATAAATTCAAAACTCACTTGTACTGCACAATGTATGTCCTCCTCTGCTTTGTCTTGTCCCATAGTCTTCTCCATGCTCTGATACTGCAGTATATGTGTTTTCCCTTTTTCTAATTGCATGATGCTCCTGCTTGTCCCATGGGTCACAAAGCATAAATTACACCCTAGAGCAAAAGATTTTAATTTCCCTGTCAGTCCATGCTGTGATGTTAGTAATCACTTTTCTGTCCAAGCCCTGAGCAAGAGAGCACAGCTCTCACTGTTTACTGTATATGAGACCACCCTTGTTGTGGTGGTACCAATGCCTTTGGGCTTCCCTAACCTTTCCCTAACCTTTTGTACAACAGAGGATCCTCCCTGTGCTGCCAGCACTGAGGCTGCAGGCTGCAGAACTGGCTAGCCATTTCCCCAGGGGGAACCTCCAGCAATTGTGGAATTTTAAGGGAGCCATCTCCCTTGATCTCTAGCATGACCTGCACAGAAGAGGCCTCTCCAGTGATTCCCAGATGGTGCTGATGTGACTGAGCACGTCACAGTTCCCAGTCCCTCTGAGAGCCATGTCCTGACCTTCACGTGGCATCACAGTCATAGGACTGGATAGAAATGCATGAGGCTATCAAAGCTTCCTCCAGCTCTGAGGCTGGACCAGCCACACCACTCATTGCAGAGGCATTTATGCAACTCTATTTTGTTACATTTAGCAGTGAGTAAGAGGCAGCTGTGGTATATTATATTAATGCTCTCTTTGTTAGGAGGTCAAAGCAGAGTTCAAGCTGACCCAGGAATATGTTGCTAAGTGATTCCTCTCCAAAGCCATCCTGCATCGTGTTTGTTGTCTGGTTTTATCATCACTGACCTTCACAGGGCTGAAAAACTCGAGCAGAAGAGCTGAGACCCCCATCCAGGGTCTCCCCTAGAAGTTTCCATTTTAACTTGCAAAGTCTTTATTACATTTTCTAAAGCTTTTTATAAAAGGCTCTGAAAACTTTTACGAAGGCCAAGTCTAAACCCAGGCCTAGGAATGTTTGGTTGGGTACTTCACAGACGTGTTCCCAGGTTGGATAGTGCTTGTTGGTGTTCTGCACGCACACGAGTGGAGAGAGCAAGCGCTGATCATGTGCATCTAGCTGCCTTCACACAAGAGGCTGTGCTCATTCGAGAGTCCTGTTTCAGGCTCTGGTACCTCCTGCAGTTTGGCTCCCATATTTCGTGGCTGCTCCCAGCTTTGGGGTGGTGTCAGGAGGGAGGAATGTGTGAGATGAGAGCGAGGAGTGCTGAATCACTCTGCTGATTAACACCGGACTGTGATCTCTCCTGACAGCTGATTCAGTTTCTGTTTGGCCAGCTCCAATCAAACCCTAGCGGCGCTGGGATAAAGAGGAAGCTGTAAGTACCCTTGTGTGGTGCGCACACGCTCACGGGTGCATAATGCTGCCCCCTCGCTAAAAGCACAAGCTCAGCTCGGCCAGGCAGGCGGTCACCGGACCAGGGCACCATGGTAATGGGGAATGAATGGGCTGAACTGCCGAGTCAGACCTGCTGACATGCCCCATTCAGTGGTCTTTAGAGAAGCACCGTGTCAGCTCGTGACCTTTCTTTGGGGAATACAGTGTGGGATGGGAGATGGGAACACTCATTAGTGGGGGAAGAAAGGGCAGGACCCCAGTGCTGGTCCCACAGGCACCAGTTTTGCCACTTGTCATCAGCAGGAGCAGGGCTGGGCCCGGCCAGACCACAGGCACCTTTAGTTTGGCCCACAGTCACTGAATGAGGTGTGTATCTGACACAGGCTTGGTGACCTTCAGGAACCTGCCTCCAGTTCCACCTTTATTACTTTGTGGCCTTAGGCAAGTCAGAAACTTCTCCATGCCCCAAAGGAGACATCCCAAGAATTGCTGCTCTAGGGGGTTGCTTTTCTTTAATCAGTGTCCTCGTTCTTTGCTGAAATTTCATGTCAGAATTGTAAAGGAAACAAAGGATTTGATGAAGGAGCCTGTAGTCTGTCTGTACAAGTAAGCTGGATACACTCACCTCTGCCTGTGCACTCTACCAAGCCTTCTGGAAGGAATATACACTGCTCAGAGAATGGTAGCAAAGAAGGAGGGTCAAGGGGAGAACATCAACTGCTCTGGCTCGCTGAGGTTCATGAGTGAAGAGATTTTCGTCCTGTAGAATGGGGAGAGCAGAGAAATGAGATGCTAGATCTGATCTCTGATTTCCATGGTCAGTGCCATGCAAGAGCTTTGCAGCCCAAGAAACATCATAGACCACTGCTGTGAGGAAAAAAAGTAAATCATTAGTGAGAGACTGGGCTGAAAGGAGCAGAAGAGCACAGAACTACTTGCACAGCAAATACATTGGCCTCCTTATAAAGAGGGATCCTGCTGATACAACCCCGCTGCAATTTGCACAGTGTTGTGCCTGTTAATTGAGTTTCTGCTTCCTTGGAAGCGTGAAGGGCTGTCCTCAAGGCACCTTAGTTCTTATGTCTATATCTGCACCGTTAGTGCTTTATCTTTCACAGTCGCTTTCCTGCTTCTCTTTTAAATGCCACCAGGAAGTTGTATCATGCAGCCCAGAGCAGCTGGGCACAGACCAGAGGAGTGCCAGCTGGTAGCTTTGGACAGGATGGCTTGGTCAGTGGGTCCTACAGGCACTCCTGACCTGGGAGGCTGTTAGCTGGGTTAGGCACCAAAGTATTTTGGTAACAAACGTTGGACAGGGAGGTTCATTTGCTGCGCATGGAGCAGAGAGCTGGGCACTTGTGAAGTAATTGTCACAGAGCTGGCTACGATACCTTGGTTTGTGCTGAAGAGTAGCTTATGCCATAACAAGGTCAGTGTCGGGATGATTCAAATATTCTTTCTCATTCTTTATCTTTGGTTAATGTTATGGGATAGAAGAACGCTGTTAATCAGCACTGAGTCCTCCTGTATAATGTATAATCCCTTTGCTGTGGGATCTAATTGCAGTCTGAGCAAACCCGTAATTTCTCCCAACGTACCTGGTTCCAGTGTCTGTAGGATGAAGAGAATTAGGATGTTTTTCCATCACACCTGTTAGACGTGACTATAGAAAAAACCTGCTGACTTTCCCAGATGCCCTCAGCCAAAGTGCTGTCTTCTAAACGTGCACTGAGGGTGCTTTTCCTGACTGTGGGTCAGTGGGAGGAGGAAAGGGATGTGCTGGGCTGCTTTATAGGATCAGCACAGCAGTAACAACAGTGGGTGTGAAGCAAAATTCACCACTTCCCAGTTTCTCTGGGACCATCTTGCAGTGCTGGTAACATCTCTATCACAATAACAAGTATGAGGAAGGGCGGTGCCATTTTGAGGCTTCTCCTGGTTTCAGATTTTTACTAAATTTTTTTTTTGATTGTGGGTCCAGGTATTGCCACCTTATCTGGGAAACAAGTAGTGCTCAATGTATGTTATTGGACTTACCTCTTTCAAGTAAGGTCTAGAGAACCCAGATCTTTAAGCCACTGCATGGCTTAAAAAGACCCTTTTTAATGGTGAACTCCTCCAAGACTGCTGCTTCCCTTCCTTCTCTGTAACACTGAACAAGAGTATACCTTACACCTGAAGAAAAACACAGTACCCAGGGGGAAACGACCCTTGGCTGAAAGATGTTTCTTGTCTGAGCAGTCATTGACCAGTCAGTCAGTACAAGCTGGGAAAACAAACCTCTTGTTTCTCTTTGCAGGCCTCTGATGCTCGACAATGGGTTGGCAGCTCCACAAGTGTCCAAGTTCAGCCGACATTTGCCTACGGACCCCCTCCACGACCCCTATTTCATACAGTCGGTAGGTTTATTCCAACCTCCAGGCTTCAGGGAATTTCTTTGGCCAAGGATGGGAAAATGTATGAGGCAGTAATAAAGACTTCAGAGTAAAGAGTTTGCAAGAGTCTGGCAGTGAAGAAGAGAAGAGAAGAGGTCTGCAAGGTGCAGTGACATTTATTATTCCTTTAGCTCCTCATTTCCAGGGAGAGAAGGGTGCTTGCACATGCTCATGCTGCCATATTCTGTGGCTGGCACAGTATGAGAGTGGAGCAGTCTAGGCAAAATGTCAGGCATGGCAGAACCTCTCAGTAGCTGACATTTCAGTCACAGTGCTTGTTTTACACCTGCACCTCTGTGTAGTTGGAGGAGAGACCGGAGGAACTTATAAGGTTGTGCTGTGGGTAAGAGCTTTCTGCGTTCCTGTACAGGGAGGACTCAAAAGCAAAGGGGTGAACTCTCCCTGAGATAGGGCCCTGTATTTTGCCTGTTGCCACAGAAATCAGTGATAACTTGGGCTGCTTTTTTCCAGTGAGCTGCGGCCCTGTAGCAAGCAAGGGAATGGCACTACTTTCAGACAGGGTTCCAGGACAGAGTGCATACTACCATCCAGAGCTCTTGGGCAAGACTTTTGGAGGATGGGGCTGGGTGAAAAATTTTCTCTTACAAATCAGTAAGCTGCCTCTCTTCCTTCTTGGGCAAGCGGAGAACCAGCTGACTTATTAGTGCTCTTTACCACCACAGAAGGTTAAGTCTGTATTATTTTTGCTTTCCTCTTAGCCATCGACAGAACCTGCCTCTTGCTTAAACAGCCCTGCAATCGTTGGAGGACCCATCATATCTGATGTTACGGAAACATCACCATCCAACATCATAAATATGCAGTCCCCTTCTGATAATGACAGGTAAACATCTTTGGGTTTGAAAACGGGCAGAATTGGGTGTGGACAAGAGTAACTTCAGAAGAGTGTTTCCTGGCTCTAATTCTACAAGCTTGTGTCTAAGGTGCAAAATTCTATAGCTGGAATGGAATGGAATGGAATGGAATGGAATGGAATGGAATGGAATGGAATACTTTAAACAGAATCACAGAATCATCTAGGTTGGAAGAGACCTCCAAGATCACCTAGTTTAACCTCTGACCTAACATTAACAAGTCCTCTACTAAACCACATCACTAAGCTCTACATCTAAATGTCTTTTAATGACCTCCAGTTCGGAATGTGAATCAGATTTTCAGAACTAGGTAGGCTTAATAACAGCATGACGTTTAAAACAAAGTCATGGGTTTCATGCTGATGGGTTTCATGCTGAGAACTTCCACTCCCTTTCTTGGGAAGTATTCCATGTTTCTTTATATTTTTGTTCTCAAGACAGTGACTGTCTGGACTTTCTCAAAGAATGAGATACCAAATTTGTTGGGTTTGTTGAGAGAAAGAGGGAGGAAGTTTTCTCTTTTCTTTGACAAAGAAACAGAATCAAACTGTACATCTTTCTGCTAATGAGAACAGAAAGGTTGCATCACAACTTCCGATGTTTGACAACTTTTCTGTGAAAAGGTCCCAGTAACTTAAGAATTGAATGCAGAGGTATTTTAGTGCTTATCTCTTCCTGCCACGCACATTCAGTGTACTTAGGGCTAGTAGCAGAATAGCTACAACTATGTCAGTGGAAAGTAAGTAGACAGATGAATCATGGAAACAGTTTCTAAGGCGTAGAGGCAAGGCAGCTATACCGTAGAAATTGTCTGTAAATCTACCTAATAATTGAAACCACAGTCATAAAATTAGCTTGAAGCATATAAGGAACTCCAGATAAAAAGAAAAAAAAAAAAAAAAGAAAAAAAAAAAAAAAGAAAAGCATGCCGAAAGCCATTTCTAAAGCAGATTTTTTTTTTTAATATAATCTTCAATTTGCTTATTTCAGCTAATTACTGAGTGCCACCTGGTGGCCTCTGATCTGTGCTGTCTGCATGGCTCGTGAAGAGAATCTGAGCCATAATGAGTTCAGGAGTGTGGTACTTGCTAAATCAATATGAGCTTCTGGTAGGAGTTTAGGATTCATAAGATGAAAAGATGATCTAAAAAAAAATCCCAGGAGGGCTTTGTAGTGTCACATACCTCCCACATGTGGGACGTGTCCACGTGTTGTCTTACAGCAAAGCTAGTCCATAAGTGCTATAAAATATTTTCTCAACGTGGCTTCCTGTGCACAGCGCTTCTTTATCTGCATGTCATTGTCATTTTGGCTCCAGTTGTGCAGCTTCACAGGGAGCTGTAAAGTTTCCTGCAGGTGGCACAGGGTAGATTTTTACACACAAAATTGGAATGTTCAAACCTTTGATATAACATGACCTTCTAGGAGTAACATAGAGTGCTTCCCCCACTGAAAGAAGGCAAACCTCTGCTTCCAAACAAGTAAATGATCTGGCTGGGACTGTCAGATTTTGATATCCTCTGTCCCAAATGCTTCCAGGCCACAAGATCCTCTCCTGTGTCACTAGAATATTTAGGGAGCTTTCTGGTCCAGTACCAACCCCAGCATGGGAAGGTCTTTCTGATCCCATTCCTGTCTTTAGGGTGGAGGCTTCTGCTTTTCTTGGGTCACTCTGTAGCCCAGTGACCATTTACCTGTATCAAGTCTAACACTTACCTGAGGAATGATGAACACATGGAAGTGTATTTTCCATATTTTCAAGACAGTCTAATTGAGTAAACTGATTATAACCATGACGGATGAAGTGAGTGAAAGTACTCCAGCTGAGCATCTTTCTGATATGCCTCTTTACAGCTCTGCTGTAAAATGGACCCCAGGATGGGCCCCTTCTAGCACTTCTGTGGGTGGATGCCCAGCCTTGATCTGGTAGTTTTAGTCTTCCAAGCTTGTGTTTGTCTGCTGCTTCTGGCTGTGCCCCAAAAACCCGCTTCACTCCAACAGAGCCCTGTGCATGCACATGCTGGAAGCTTGGTAAAATATAGCTGCTGATCCCATGCTCCTTGGAGATTTTCCACCAACACTGACCTGCCTTGGAGATTGCAAAAGGGAAAACAGGGTTGCTGGGAGAGTTTATTTGTCTGTCTGAGGAATGGAAAGACTTCACGGGGCAGTTTGAGAAGGGGAGACAAGCCCTCGTGCTGTTGCCCTTCCCAGTAGAGCAGGGCCTTTGTGGAGCAGACGTGTGCGGTGCTGAGTATTGTCTCTGATGCAGGGAGAAGTGCCTCATGCTGATCAAAGAAGAGCCAGTGAGCCCTGGAGTGAAAGCCAGCACCGAGCCTGACGTGCCAGGCTGCAGGGCCTGCCCCGAGCCCCCTGTGCTCCCAGTCGCCATGGTTCAGTCTGTGCTGGAAGGCAAAGGCAGCTGTGGGGCAGTGCCCCCAGGGACCTCGCAGCCACCGGAGAGAAGAGGCAGAAGAGCACTGCTGGACAGGTGAGGGGAGCAAGGGAGAGCTGTGGCCCTGGGTGTTTCGTGGCCCCCTCTTCCTATTACCAGGGAGTTGGGTAAATCAATGAAATTCTAAGGAGGTTGATTTTGTCACCTCGTGCAACCTTGTGAGCTCCTTCCTGTCCCCATGGCACCTGCTTAGGGGGCTCTTGAAGCCCAGGGGACAGTTCACAGGGATAGGGGGCCTGTGGATGGCTTGCTTGAAGGCCGCAGTAGAGTGAGAGCTGTCAGAGCATGCACATCAGCCACGGGAACAGGAAGAGGCTTTCTGCAGTGAGGGGCATTTGCCCCAGGTCTGTGTGAAAACTGGAGCCCAGACCAGCATCCATGTCTGCTGACTTGCAGGCCACTGGGCCCCATGACATCCCCAACAGCTCACGATGCCTCTCGTTTGCCTTGCTGAGTCTTCAGTTATGGAAACTCTCACAGAAGTATTTGTGTCTGGCATACCGATACACAGACAGCGATGTTAGAGTACAGTTCACCATCACCTATACTATCGTAGGGTGTATAGGCGATAAGGCAGCAAAGAATTTGCCCCAGATGTGGGCTTAAGAAGGAAATCCTTTGCTCCCTTGAGCCCTTTCTTTTCTTATTCTATGCTGGGCAACCAGATAGGGGCTCTTCTTTTTAGTCTGCTCTCCCTTTGCATCTCCTGTCACCTTCCAAGGTGCCTTTCCTTAGTCAGTGCTAGATCTGCCTTCAGGGGGCAGCCAGTCCCTTTGGCACCATCCCATGGGCCATGTGGTTCTGGGGAGGTACTGGGAGGCTGACACTGTGAGAAACTGCAGCTTCCCCATCTCTGACTGAGAGTAAAAACCTGTGAAATTTAGCTGGGTTTTCTGGGCTTGTCTGCTTGAGGTGGAGAGGCTCAGTAAAGTGCTAGGCATTCCAAGGCATGCCTTTATTCAGGAAAAAAAAAATAATAAAAAAATCATAAAAATAATAAAATCAGGAAATAGCAAGTGAGGTCACACACAGGGATGGAGAGCTGGGAGCTTGTGCTCACTGAGTGCAGAAGTCTGTTACAAAGGGACAGAAGTTTTGTTGTTTTGAAGCCAGGGCATGTACATATCTTGCATATGAAGAGCAGAGAGAATGATGCCCTCTTGCAAGGGGGATTAGCACCGTGGTGGATTAAATTAGTTAACTACAGAATATGTTCCTGATAGCATCTGCATATGGTGTAAGGAGGATTGGGAGGCAAAAGCAAAACAAAACAAAAGTTATCAGAAAGGTTTCCTTTGGGACCTACAGAGAACCAAATTCCTCTTTCTGAACCCCATTGGCCGCTTAAAAACATTTTATTAGAAGAAAAATCACTTATTTTTATTTTAAAGAGTCTGGATTTGAAGAGAAATGTTTATAGTTTTGGGGGATTAAACACAGCGGGGTCTCACTGTTGCTTCTTTAGCTGAATGTCTCAGGTACATGCCTGCTGGTAGAAGTCACTCCCTTCAAAGCCTTTAGTTAACAGTAATTTAGCCATCTTGGACCCAGGATGATGGGAATGTAGCTGGTTCTGGATCCCAACCACCTCTCTAGAAGGATTTCCTCTAAGGAAAGCTTTAGTTTTCCTAATCTTAAGGAGATTTGTGCAGACTGCCCGTCCCCAAACCACATACATCACCCAGGACAGGAGTAGTCTCACTCATTGACCATCAGCCCAGTCTCCTGCATGCTCTTTTGGGTTATATTTCTGAGATGAATCCAAGTGAAATGACATAAACCCAGGCTGACAGTGGGCTCTTGTTTTTCTAACTGTGGTTTAAACATAAACCTCATGTAGGAAGGCTTCTCAGTCCTGCTTTCTCTATGTATCTATGCAAGACTCATGCGTGGCAATGTTTTCCCTTGTCTTTTCTCAGAACAGATATTTCAGACCCCTTGGAGGGCACCGACTGGAGTTTGGAAGGGGTGCAGCTGCTGCTGCGGAGCCAGCAGTACGGCCTGGAGCCTGCCAGCCTCCTGGACGTGAGTGCCAGCCCCTCTGCCCGGGCAGCAAGGAGGAGTTGGGAGGGAGCCAGCGGTACCTTTGGGCTATGAAACAGATGGACTGTGAGGCTTAGTCTTGTGCAGCCTTGGGTGGCACTCTAACTGTCCCAGGCTGCCAAAGAAACAGAGCTCTTCTTTGAGCTGCTCATAGGAAATGGCAGGATTTCAGGCTTTAGATGATACTTCGGAAATTTCTTGTGGAAATGCATATATTTGAACTTTTAGGAGCACGAAATGGTGCATTTGGTAAAGGTAACATCATGAGACCCACATCCAATCCAATTGGTAATTGCTTTGGCTGGGTTAGTTTATTTTTTACATATTCTACATCTTAGATACTTCTAGATCGTGCCCATCTTTACTACCTTCCCTTTTCCTCACATTCTGGGAAATGCAGCCAGTGTCAAATTCTCTCTGCTAAGATCTTCTTCTGTCTGCAGTTCTCAGGTCAATTTTGTCTAGAAATGGATGGTGACTTTTTTTCTGAAGTGTGTATGCAGATACGTAAAGATTTAATTCTCTTTCACTCTCTCTCTTGTACATACAGTTAGCATATGAAAGGTTTTTGCCAGTAATCAAGTAACTCTGTATGTAGTGAAAGAATATATCCATTGAGAAGACGCTTCAGATGCAGGCAAACGGCAAACTTGCATGGATAAACAGGGATGAAAAATCCTAAAAAAATTAATCTAACTTGCTTAAAGCCAGTTCTAAAGCACCTGTGATCGATTTTGAGCTTACAGAAAGCTTTTCTAATGGCCTGCTCTGTCACTGGCTCTGCTGCTTTCTGTTTCTTATTTCTTATTAGGAGGTGTTTTCCTGTCACTGACACACTTTTCTCTCTCTGTGCAACTGAACGCCACAAGAGCGAGAATGAATCATAAAACTGTACCCCAGCTCAAGAGCTGTTTTTCCCGGATTGCTCAGGCTTCTCACGAAACTGGTGGTCCTTTCAGTGCCCTAATTGTATTTTTCTCCCAACAGGTCTTTAATCCCAATTTATCTATGAGTGAGTGGAATTTGGCTGAAATGGAAGCCAGTCTGTCCCCGGTAAGAGACACGTATTTCTGAGATAATAGTTATGTAAATCTGAAGCAGTGTTTCCTGTAGGCAGAGCTTGAACTTAACTGAAGAAAGCTCATTTCTTTATAGCCAGAGGGCAGAGTGTGGTAAAGCAGTGTGAGTAAAGCATCCCCTGGGGTTAGGCTGAGGGTGCTGCCTTGTACTTCTCACCTGTCTTTCCCACTCAGCCAGAGAGCTGGTTTAAGAGACATGTGTTGGTGATGTCCTGGAGTCCTTGGTTGAAGCTGGCTGCTCCAGGCTCTCTCAGTCTGGATGTTACTTCCTAATAATATCACAGATTCATAAAGTGCCTTTTGCTGAAGTGCTTTACGGACTGTGCCTTTACAAAGCAAAGCCATCCCCGAACGTTTCAGGAGCAGGAAAACCACACATCATTAGAACAGAAGCTCCTACGCACCCACACAGAAGAAACTAGGAGGAATTCAGTTTGATGGGTTTTGTTTGGAATTGACATTGAAACAGGCACTTCTAAGGAGCATATAATGATTAGATAAAAAAGGATTTTTTTTCTTTTTCCTGGCTTGACTGGGGGTGATTTTTCAAAGCCCTCACTGCTAACTGTGTGGGATAAAGACTTGGATGTTTCTGCCACTTTTACAGAAGTGCAAGCCAAGTGCACTCTATTTTAATGAAGTGCCAAATTTCTATGAACATTCCTCACGATAACACTCTCCTTTTTAGGTTTTGATTTAATAATTTTGAATTTAACATGCTGTTGCATTTCCTGAGGGTTAGGAAGGAGATTCTCTAAAGGGTCAGATAATATTTGCAAGTCTTGGAAGCATGGATAGGTCTCTTTTAAAATGAAAACAAAAAAGGCTGAGAGGCTGCTGCAGCGCTGAATAGTTCAATCACTGAGTCCACTGAATTTCATAGCATGTGGTGCAGTCTGCCCCTAGGATTACATCTCCATTAGCTCTCTCCCTGTCAGATGTATCTGCCTTTGAGCACGTGCTGCTGACTGTTTCTACAACGTGCAGATGAGTTTGGGAGGACAACTGGCATTGCTGGTGGATGTGATGCAGCATTGATGAAGTGCTGATTTTCAGAAGTGGCCTAGTTCTAACAAGCTCCCCTGTCTTTGTATAATTGTACATTGTAGTTTATATTTTTGCATCAAGATGCAGCGACTCACGGTGGATCTGGAGAAGAATGCGACTGAGCTGTCATCAAAAGTGTTCAACCCATCCTTTAACAACACCTGCACAGGTAGGAGCACTGGCAGCTCTTGCAGAGGCGGGAATAGGGATGTAATTAGGGTGTTAAACATGCCAGTAGCTGTACGGGTCCTGTATTTCCTCTAGCTTCTGATGCAGAGGTGATCTCAGAGCTGCCAGCAGCCAGAGGAATGCTTATTTCTCAGTTTCACCAGACCTGAAGGGAAACGTTCAGCTGATCTTTTTCCCCCTTAGTGACTGATGAAGTGTGTCAGTGACCTTAAGTATGAACCTAGAAGTGTTTGCCTGGTCTTGGAATAGTGATATATTATTATTTTCACGTGTATTAATCTGGACTAGACCTGGAAGAGAAGCTTTTGAGAGCCTTATTCTTGTGCATAGCCACCTGATCCCACCCCAGAGTTTTAAAGTATAGTTCAGGGACTTCCAGTCTCCGCCTCAAGCTCAGCATCTTGCATGAGCAACAAAGGCTTTAAAGCCCAGCAATACTGGAGGGAATTATTCAGCAGGTTGGGGCTGAAATGCACAAGGGGTGCATCCCCTCTTTGCAAAGCCTTTCTTTTCCATGCAGTGGTACGGTGCTGGAATAATGGAGCAATCAGCAGGTGTCTCCTTCTGCAGAGGTGAGGAAAACCAGACAGTTCTCGAGTGAAGGTGAAGAGAAGCTGCTCTTGCCCACTTCTCCATGCCTCCAGCTATTTGGTCACACCTCTTTCACCTCTTGTGAGGCACCTCACTATTCAGGCAGAACCCAGCTAGGTGACCCACAGGGACTCCCACTGATTTCCATGGACTTCAGAGTGAGTCTGTCTTTGACTCAAATGTTTCCAAGCACTTTTTGCCTTGAATGAGGTCCCTCACCTCCTCTTGCAGCTGTGGTTTGCCACTTTTCGGTTCTCCTTCCATAAGAGCTGGTAGTATGCCTTCCAGAAACTGAGCTTTTTGTTATCTGTTTGCATTCCTAGGGAAAGATGTCGTTCTGGAAAGTGCCCAGCAGTTTCTCACTGATCGTCAGTCCGTCTTTGGAAGTGACATCATCAGTTTGCCTGAAAATTCATCACTTTATGTTCCACCTGAAAATATGGCTTCCTACCTGTCTTCTGTGGGCGTCCAAGGGGATATCCCCTTAAACCTGAGCTCTTCCACTGACAACAACCAGTGACGTAGCTTCCAAGACATCATCTCCCTCCCACCCATCCAAGCATCCACAGGTTTGAATGTAAAGAAACAAAAGTGACTCAGAAACCCACAAGAGAGTTATTGTGACCTTTCTTTTTGAGTAGATGGAAATGGTCAGTAGTTGTTGCATTAACTGCTCTGCCCCTGGACTTCAGTGTTTGTCCAGGATAATGATTTTAAAACAAAATGCTGCTCCTGGTGCTTGCTCCTATTTGGGGCGAGAACTCGGTAGGAGCTGTTTTTCTTGAAAATGCTTTTACAAATTTCAAACCTTCTACGAAAATTTGGGTGACAAGTAGCTTGAAAGTCCATCGAGGAAATCCTGTAATAAAGTAATCCCTATTAGTGTCTGCAATGGCAAACTGCTGGATTTTACTGCAGCAGCACAGATCAGCTAAGAGATGCATGACCCTTCTGAATGTGTTTTTTTATAAGTAGGAAATTAATTCTATGTGCCAGATCAATGCTCTGAAATTATTCTCTTATTATCCATTTTCAGTTTTTGATGGGATGTGCTTGTGCCTCTCCCTTATCTTCCTGGGATGAGCTAGGAAAATGAAGATCCCTCAGGGTGTGCAGAAGATAGTTTTGTGAGTGACCTCTCCAAGAATGTGTCTCTGGCCCTAGGGGAGCTACAGACCATTGCAGACCCCACAAACATCCCATCCTGAGTTGAGAGGGTTGTTTTTCCCCCAGTTTATTTTCTCTAACATAAAGGCAGGGCACTCCATTCTTTAAAACAGAATAAGGGGTAGACTCTTCTGTACATGCAGTTTTCCATTTTCAAACAGGACTGAGAGGGCGCAGTCCTGGTTTTAATGCTGGCTGAGTATTTCATGTCCAGTCTGATGACATTTTTCCTTGGCCTTGACCTGTTCTATTTCCCCTGAAGATGTGCCTGTTGGTTTATTAACGTTTGAAATCTGATGAAGCAGTTTAATTGATTGGAGCCCCTTTTTAGGAGGACTCTCAGATGCAGGTACCTGCTCAGTGTAGGACAGAGGCAGAAGGGTTAGTCCACCACGTCCCACTACCTTTTCTTCTGGCCTTTGTGCATTTGAGACCAGCCTCCAAAGGTTGAATGAATCTTCCTCTTCCATGTGGTTTCTGACGACTGAGTTTCTCAACAAAGCAGAGCTTTGTTTTTTTATGCTGTAGTTCTAATGAGAACATATTATTTATCTCAGTATCCTCTAATTGAGTTGCTTTTCCTTAAGAAAGCCACCCAAATGCAGTTAGACCCAGGAAATTCACCTAACTCAGGCCTTCTAAGGGCTTGGACAGGGAAGTATAAACCATGCCAATGTCATTTGAATAAATGTTCTGCTAACTTCCATTGCCATGGTGATTCTTGGTACTAAATCGTATTTCTGAGCATCTAGAATGGTCAAGCAGCATCCACGCAAAAATGTAGGATGAATGCAAGCTCAAATTCTTCTTAATAAGAGATGCATGTTTTAAATAGACTTCCCTGTCACAGCCCATTTCTCCATCCATTTCTCAGTGTGTGAAAAGTTCAGAAACACTCACTTCTGAGCCCATTTCTTCCCAGCTAGCTACTGTGTGCTGGGAGCTCTGTCACCACTGTAGTGGGACAGACTTTGCAGAAGTGATGTTGTGAGAGCTTCTGAATTAATTCCATCCACTGTTTTTGTGTTCAGGACTAAGGGAAAATTCTGGCAGCCCCATTGGCCTAGTATTTAGATGATGTTCTTGAGTGTAGCATGGACAAGGTTTCCTTTTTGACAGATTTTGCTTAGGAAGCTCATCTAGATCAGCCCATTTGCCACTGTATTTTGTCATTTCCAGCAATGGAAACGTGTTGAGTTGCAGTCTGTTTGCTTCTTTTCTCAAAGGAAATTGAAAACTCTCTGGTGTCTCTTATCACCAGATGGAGTATGTTATCCCTGTTCAGTTTTACATCCTTCTTTGAACCTTCAGACACTAGATTGCCTTAATGTTAATGCTGAATGTATTGATTCCATAAGGTATTTTGAGCAGATGTATAACTTCAAGCTTTTGAGCAGTTTTCCTCATTTTTATCAAGTCTGTCATATGCCTGAAGTTGGACATGTGCTTGGGTGTCTTACTGGATTGTCTAGTTGTGGGTGAAAAATGAACCATTTAGGAGAGCTACTTGTGAGTAGACAAAGGCAAAGCTCAGTCAACGAGGGGGCCTGGCACCATCTTAGACTGCAGCATTTTTATAGGGGTAAGTGGCAGGCTGTACTCACTGCGAGCAGCCACTCCTGGATGGTTCCTGGGTTTTTCTTTAAGCTTTTTGCTCTGCTATAAACATGAGATCGGAGATTGGTGGAGTGAGGGTAACCTCCAGGAGCAGCATTCAAGAACCACTCCTGTGAAGAAGCAGGCTTGTGTTCCTTGGCTTTTTACATTGTTAATTTTACTTGAAGGTGATGTGCTGAGACTGTGTTTTTGCACTATGCTGTACATTTGTAAAGTTTTACAGAAAACACTAATTAAATATGTTTCCTTTTTCTCATTTAGTCCTGTTCTGGCATTTCTCTCACTACTTTCTCCCTACCCCTTACTCCTCTCCTCCTTCCCAAGTCCTCACTGGTAAGTGATAATAACTTCCAGAAACGGAAGAGATTCATTTGTGAGATAAAGTAGGGCCCACTGATGGACTGAGATTGTCTATGTTAAAAAACAGGAGCTGGAGAGACCTAGCATGTCAAATGAGCAAGCAGATGAAGTTTTTAGTCAAAAACGCTGGTCAGTGTGGGTATATTTGACATAAGGTCAGGCTCAGAGTAAAGAAATCTGTAGTTCCTGAAATCTGACCAGCAATTTTGAATATTTTTTTGTCTTGATTTCAGTGATAGTAAAAGCTCAAACTTATCTTTTTTGTTCATTTGTTTGTTTCAGTGTGTTTTGACAATAGGCTCCTTCCTGCTTATTTCATCTTAGTAAAGCAGGGAATGTCAAGACAGGCAGTAAAAGACACAAACTTGATGTGACAGCTCAACAAGAAGATGGGTTTCCTCATCGCACTGTGAGTCCACAGTTCACTGCTCTGCTCTCTTGGGCTCAGCAATGTGGCACTGTTGGAGCGGTATCTGAAAATGGGTCACCGTGCTCTTCTCCCATCCTGACCTGGCGATGAGGCAGGCTGCGACAGGTCCCCTGTGTGATGCCTGGCATGATTTCAGCCTGTGCTGACAGAGGTGTCAAAGGCACAAGCCCTGGAGCTGAGGCCCCGTGTTTGAGGGGGCTCAGCACCAGCGCAGGCAGTCAGGAGCCCCCCCCCCCAGGCTACTGCACGTGCAGGCAATGCAGAAGGTGATCATCATGCTTAGTGAAATTGCATCCTGCACGTGCTGACCTTGCAGTTCACACTGTGATGTGAAATCCTCTGTGCACGCACAATGTACAAATACATTTTGAAAGCACTGTGGAAACAGCACAAAAATACACAAGGCAACGGCCTCAGAGTAGAGTTTATCCATCCTTCTGTCAGAGAAGGGAAGCAGAAATTTTTGAGGACTGCGATCACAAATTTTGTTGGAATAATTTACAGCTTTATAAAGAAAAGATTCTTGTGAAGACACTTTAAGACAAACCTGTTCTCTACTTCAGAAGGGGCAGAAGGAAAGAACAAAAAGGTGGGGGAGCAAGGAGAAGGAAGCCAGTTCAGGAGTCACTGCTGTCATCTTCCATTTCACTTTGGCACAAAACTGCCATGGGAAAATAAAAGAGAAGCTAATGAAAGAGAATTCCTTTGGTCTGCTTATTAATAGCAAAACTGTCTACTACTGACTGGCTGGCTATTTTTATATTTGAAATCCAGATCCTGAGACGTGTATCACACAGAAAAATAAGGAAAATGCCAGACATAAGTAGATGCTTCACCACAGATTGCCCTAAAAGGTAAAAACGTTTTCCATTCATGGATGCTATTTACACATCTATTTTTGCATAAGCCATTACGTCTATGAATATTAGATTCTTAAAATGTCATTAGAAGCAATTGTGATCTGTCATTGAGGTCTATATGGTATGACAAATATTTGTGAGCTGATGAAAGTTAAAAATATATTGGGTTACAAGTAGAATCTTTATTTAGTTAAAGTGACAGAAACGTATTACATTACATTATGAATTGAAACTATGTAGATAATGAAACCATAAGATACAAACATTTCTAGAAAGAGGCAAGGAAAAAGAAAGGATGTGAGAGTGGAATTTAACCTTAAAACACTAGTGCCCTCATTTTTTGTGGTAGTAAACGTTCCCAGCTGCCCTGAAGAAATGAGGGATTTCTAGCACTTCTGTCAGTGGGAACACAAGGCACTTGCTACCTGCAGGTTACAGAGGGTTATGTGCTGCTTTCATGTTGGCATCACCGTATGTTCTACCCTGAAGGTTGTACATTGGAGGCTGCATTGCCTCTGACTGAAACACGGAAATCCTCATGGTGAAGGCAGTGATTTTTTATACCACAAAGTGTTAGGTCAGTTTTAACTGATGGTCCCACTGCTGAACTTTGCATTTGGAGAACAACTCTAAGCAGTCAGGTAGGCACAGTGTTCCAGATTTGGTTTGTTTTATTCAAAGTGATTAATCTAATCCCCTCTTACTGTCATTGTCATCTTGTGGTTCACGAGGACACTCTTTGCCTTCAGCCAGGGTCTGTACTTCTCCATCACTGCCATTCCCTGTTAAAAAGCAAGTGAAAGGCAAGTGAAACTCACTGATAGTCTTTAATACTGGAAAAAGAAATGTAGAGCCCAATTTAAGTGATACAAAACAAGGAATTCTGTGTAAAAAAGAGAGAAGCATTTTAATTCTTAATTTATTAGGCTTCCCACATAAATAAAAGGAAGAGGTGGTTGTTAACTAACACGGTGGATTTTAAAGCTTTTTGACAAGAGCTCAGCAAATCCTTAATGTTAGTGTATGTAAGCCACCTGCCTTTTACTCTGTGATTAAATGTATTGCTGTAATCTTACCAGGGCAAGCAACTGTAATCTTGCTGTCCCCTTCCCACAGGCTTGGGTCATCTGGTTGATTGCAGACTGATGACAAGAGGAGCTTATCAGTAGGTTCAGAGATGACCTCTTGTATCAAGGCTTTCTGGGGGTTAGCTTGTTTGTCTTTGGTCTCCAAGTATCTTCCTGAATTAGAGGGCTCCATAAAGAAACCTTCAACAAAGGGTCTTAGGCGCTCATTTTCTTGTGCTCTATGTGTCTTAGACACATTTGAAAAAATTGTTGTTGGAACTTCTCCTACTGAATGCTCAAATGTGGTTTTAGTGTTTTCCTCTAAGGCAGAATCGCTGTCGTTTGTCATTTCAGAAATTATTTCAATATTTGGGTGACGTTGCTGTAAAGGCAGAAAATGTAATTGAAAATATATCCTTCTAGATATAACAAATGAAAGATAGGTAACTATCTCCTGAATCTGTACAATTGTCATCCTTGATGTGCTTTTCTCCCCAAATGTATGGAAGATCTGCTTCACACCCACAGCTCTTCTCCTTTGCAGATTGATCTTGGGTTAACTGCATGGCAGACATAAACCATGAGCTGACCATGAACTACTAACAGTTCAAAAAAGAAAAAAAGGGAATATTTCAGCAATTCAGCAACGTGTAGCCTCTAATACTTTTTTTTTTTTGATCATTTTATCAAAATGAGTACAAACATTTAAAAAAATGACAGCCATCATAATTGCGTAGACTAGATCAGAGTAGTCTGGCTCTTTGATTTACAACTTACTGGTTAGTTTCGATCCAACCTGAAAATAAATTTATTTTTATATCAGACAAAATAAAAACAAAGCCCCAGTTTCCCGAAACCGCATGCCTCAAGAGCAAGCCACTGACAAGGGCAAGAGGATTCATGGGCTCAGATGTATTATTTTACCTTTGTCACAGCAGGAATTTAACCTCGACTCTTCCACTGTTCAAGAAATATCCTTAACTAGGAGGCTACAGGAATTCAAGGCTGCATTTCTGCTAAAGAACCAATGGTATTTCATATGAAGTGGAAGGTTTGGGCAGTGATGCAACACGACCACGACTGAGAGGTTGACATTTCACCACTGTGACTGACACGTTCTCATCTTCCAGGATCTCTCACAATATACTGAGTCTTACTAGTGCTTTTTTTAAAATATTACTTAATAGACTCTACCCAGTGTCTAATATAACATCTAATCTGACTTCATTTAAGAACCGAACACCCTTAGGAGCGTGAGAGTTGCTAACACACGTTCCTTTATTAATCCTTTTTGTTCCCTGTCCTATTCCTTCTCTTATCTTCTAAGTGGAGGATTTGTTGGCCAAGACATTTTGCAACATTTTTGTGATGATGTGACAAGATGAGCAAATAAAAACCATGCCTTACACAAATGGACTGTAGGAAAACTTTACAAGTTCCTCCAAGCTGTTGCAAAAATGTGCACTGTATCAGCCTGTCTCCAGTAGGGCAAGAATGAGCCATCAGCAACACTAGAATCAAAGCTGTCCTTTTAATCTCTCTTTTTTTTTTTTTTTTTTTTCTTTTTCCTCTTTTGTTTCTGTTTATAGTCTTGTCTAGCAGCTTAGTCTGCGCATAGCACGATGCTGTTGGGAGCACGAACCAGTGGGGCTGGAATGCGTTGTATATCAGTAGCATTAAGTGAAGCAGAGGAGTTTTGGTCTCTGTATTTTCAGTTGAAAAGTCTGATTTTATTCAGTAGTAGGCTATTGTGCTATCTACTCAGTCCTTTGCAGCATATTAGTACTAGTAAAGTATATTTTATCAGTAATCTTCATTGAAAAGCTGTATACCACTAAGAAGTTAATTTTATGTAACTGTTGCATTATTTGACCTTAGTTTTTCATTTTCCTATTTTTACAATGCAAAAATATATATAAAAAATCAAATTGAAAGAAGACTTATAAGTGGATATACAAGATCTGATGAAACATCCATTTTAGCTTATAAGTGCAGAACTGATTGTATCTTCCAAGACAGCATTTCACAACTCAGATTGCTCTTATTTTGCAAAACATTCATAAGGGAAGCTTCGTCACTGGAATTAATTAAGAATCTTACCTTTTGAACAAAGATTTCCTCTTCTGGGGGAAATTCATTTACATCTATATCTTCTAAATCAGGCAGTTCCTGAAGAGAGTCACAAAACCAGTGGGAAAAGTTAGCTCTAATCAATAAAATATGTCATCCCTATCTCATTGGGAATCAACACGATGCTTTTCCAGATAAGAGGCCATAACTAGAAATACTGGGCTGTCATCTTCTCCAGGATGACATCTTTCTCTGTTAAGCATATGTGGGAAAAGTACAATTCATCTGTCTCCAGAAATACATGTAGCAGATGGGAAGGCAATAACCTTAATGTCATTGGAATGGTCTTTTCTACTGTGCTGTGTGACTAGGAGGTTAAAAACAAAAACAAGAACAAAAACAAAAAGGAAGGAAGGAAAATGGGTAAACAAAATGACACTACAAAGATTTTTAAAGGAGATGTGGTTTA